AATCTTCTATTTTAAGATGCAGTATTTTACTCATGGTGTTCTGAGTCCTGTAGGCCATTGAAACTCTGTATTTCTTGAATCTGTTAGCAGTCCTTTATGTTGTAGTTCCCGTGTGACTAAATGTGACATATGTGGTCTTTTCCTCTTTCATCTCTTCTAATGTTGTCCTGCTGTGTAGTTTATTCTGGCTATTGATTTTTCTCCTCGTCTTTCTTGCCATGTCCTCTATTGTCTTGGTTTCAAATCCATTAACTTGTGCGATCTTCTTAATGGTGTCCAGTTCTTTCTCCTATCGGCTTGGCTAAGTGAGATCTTATACTGTATGCTCGGTACAGCATGAATCTAAAGGCTGCGGTCTTGTGGATTGTCGGATGGATAGACTTGTTGTTGATTGTAGTGTCCGTTTGCATGGGTTTCCTATAGAGATGTCAAACTCCATCTCGTTTTCTTTTCTCTCTAATGTGAGATCCAGTAAGTTGATCTTTTGATTTTCTTCAAACATGTTGGTAAAATTGAGGTTCGGATGGTTGCTGTTAAGTGTCTGTATCATTGTTTCGTGCTCTTTTTCCTGGGCTTGTCTGAAGACAACAAGAATGTCTTCTACATATATAACATACAGTTTTACAGCATGATTCTTTCTTAAATTCTTTAACTTTTTTTCCTGATGCTGTAAAAATATGATGTAGTCTAACTCAAATTCAAATTCTTTATTCAGCATCTAGACATAGTTACAATAACAGAGATAAACTTGAAGTGAGATTGTTGAAAAGAACTATTGCTGAATATTTTAAATGATGGTGAAAATTGCGGCGGAGTGTGGCGGGATATTCATAATGCATCTGGGTTTACTTCTTGTTCCATAAGTGTGAGATGGGAAAAACTGATTTAAAAGATGATAGTTTTTGTGCAAACATGATAATATTTCAAAAATATAAATCGATGGGAAGGTTAACAGTGTGTTAGAACAAAGGTTGGTACATGAGGTTCTGGATGAAACATGAAAAATTAATCGTATGTCTTACTTCTGAAGCCCAAACACTGACTTGGATTTGGTGCTCTCAGAGCCCCAAATTGAAACCCCATAGGATACAAATGGATAAATAATACCATAATAAGCAGTTATAAATATAAGTCGATGAAAGCGAGCCAGTTTCTGGAGCACAGAAATACCCTGGCTCAGTTTATTACATACATGATCTATATGTTGACGAGACGATAAATTGCAGTCAATGATTAGACCAAGGAACTTAACGGAGCGTTCTGAGAACACAGGTTCATCACCCTATAAATACTGAGCAAGCTGTTATTTGAATTACAGGTGATAGAAAACTCAATAAGGGTAGTTTTCGAGATACATACTTGTAGTCTATTTTGCTCAAGCCAATTAACAAGTGCATTCTCCTCTAAAAACGTATCAAGTTCAAGGCGGTTTGTGGATGGTCTAGAAAACATTAATGACATGTCATCAGCAAGAAGCACAAGTTTGGAACAGTCAAGCCCCGCCAAAGATCGTTGATAAATAAGACAAAAAAGGAAAGGGCTCAAAATTGAGCCTTGTGGCACGCCCTTATTGACAGTCAGTTCCTTTCGTGGAAAATCTATTACATATGTTATTTGACGTATTTAAGGAATTTACCTTAACGAATTGCACCCTTTCGACTAGATATGATTGAAACCACTGAAGTGCAAAACCTCTAATCCCCATATTGAACATTTTATTTAGTAGAAGACAATGGTCTTCCAAATCCAATGCTAGTTAGATCAAAGAACAAGCCACTAGAGCGGTTGCCCGAGTTGACGGCATCATCAATGTTTTGTACGACACAAAACATAGCACCAACAGCACTCTTCCCTTGAGTAAACTCAAATAATTGATGTTGAAACATTAACTTGTTGCACTGCAAGAAACTCCAAATCCTATTTAATACAATTTTTTATAACTTTGGAGAATGTAGAAATGATTTAAATCGACCTGTAATTTGAGCAGTCTAGTTTGCATCATTTTTTATGCAGGGGGGTAACCATAGCAAGTTTCAAACAATCAGGGAATCTCCTATTAAATCGACTATTGAAAACATAGCATTGGCAGTAGTCTCATCTTTCACGAATCCAAACTGATTCGACACAAAGCCTTCTCATGCCCTATAACAGAACATCGCCCACTGAAAAATCCCAACCACGTCACGTAGTAGTAGTACAACAGTACCTACCTGACATTAAGAACCTACTTTTACCTAGACCTTTCTTTCCTAGCGTTTGTTGTTCCTTAATTGAAAATGCCATTATAGTGTAAATTAACTACTGTAAATAAATTAAACAAAAACACTACAATCTTTTTATTGTTACCTGTATGTCATACAGTCAAAGTCCTTGATGATGTATTGAAATCCAGTTATTCAGTTATTTACAACTCATAATAAAAAAAATAAAAAAATAAACTACCCGTACAATTCAATATTTGTAAATCTCATGCAACCGAGATTGTTCTCTGCATTTCACAAGTCAGTATGATTAAGATCAACTGAGATACACACAGAGTGGCAACAGATTGGCAAGGATTTTGTTTGGTGGCAAGATAATCTCTCTCTCTCTCACTCTCTCCCATACGTTATTCCAACTCATTACTCCATGTAACAAAGGCTCATATTAAAGAATTTGGATTTATATTACACTAACTCGAAGTAAAATGTAAGTAGTTGATTACAGTAAGGTATTTATTGTATATTTCATTCATTAATCTTATAACAGAGACTACGCTGTACACTTACACTAACAAGGACTGAAATAATATGCAAAACAAAAACGAGAAAACTCTGTCAACATACTGTCGCCATCGATGCACTTTTAGCAAATTTCCCATCTATGGAATAATCTATTACCGTAGTACTCATGGTAAGACCTGGACCCGGGACCGAATACTTTTTCGTTTTGAGGTCCCTAGAGGCCAAAACACCAACCGTTCAAATTCATACACACACACACATCGTTAGCACGATAGCTCGAGCAAAAATGATCCGATTTTGATGAAATTAGGTAAAAAACGTGTAAACCTACATTTATTCGAACGAGTTCGCGAACCAGCATGACCGGACCATTCAACGGAACGGGGGTTTATGGGGTAAAAATTGATTTTTCTTATTTTTGACCCCTAAAACCTTAAATTTAGCAAATTCTATCCAAACCATTTTGTAGATCTTAAAAAAAGAAATAATTTAGTATATTGAAGCGTTATATATCGCCTAATGGTTACGGAGAAAATTTCAATAAATTGTAAATTAAAAATTCCCATGTTATTCTTATGGAGAATAAGTAAACTGTTGTTGTTTGCTTGTTTATGAGCATATTTTGATCAATGATTTGGAAAATGCATTAGCTTCATACTAAACTATTAACATTTTACAAAAACACCCTTTTATTCTCCCTGTTGCAGCAAACCAAGAGTACTCGTTAAACAAATGCAATTTAAATATGAATAAATATGATATTTTTAAGGTGACATTTTATTGTAAATCCAATTAAGCAAATGGGAATTCGCTTAGTCTGCAGGTTTGCTGAGGTGGGGGTATTTACTTTTAAATAAGTATTTTTTTAAATAGTTCCTTAATATAATTACTCCATTTAGATTCAATGAGGATAGTATTTATTGATCTGTTCAATCACATCACTTTTGGTCTTTGCTTTTTCCTAACACAAAGCAATAGGACCAGATCAATTTCCACGAAAGTTTGGTCCATAAGATGGACATTTCTATAGCTCATTTCTGTTTATAACAATGCCTTTGCACTTATAATAAAAAAAGTAAACTGTTGTAGTTTGCTTGTCTATGGATGGGTTTTGATCAATTTTGATAATACGTTTTCATCCAGTACTATTAACATAAAAAACTCTTCCCTTCGCCGTAGCAGAAAACCTAAGTATTCGTAATTCTAATGTTATTTAAGTAGGGAATAAAAATGACTATGGAAATATTTTACTTAAAATCTAACTGGACAAATTTAAATTCGCATATTCTGCAGGTTTACTGTGGCTTGGGTATTATTTTGTAAACGGAAGATAATGAGCGTACGGATTTTAAACACTAAAATAAGCGATTGTATTCTTAAAGCCCTAAGTTTAAATAATGTCTTTTGGTAATAATATTTATTCTTTTTAATATTCACAAGTTTTAAAAATTGTACTTACATCAAAATAGCAAACCATGCATATATATTTTCTAAGTTTGAATCATATATGCAACATTTTTAGAATTTTGGTTTCACCCTATGAAAAAAATTGTAACTATAATCGATAATAACCGTTTTATATCAGATAAGATCTTATGGACATTAAGAAGCTGGTAGAGATATTTTTACGTTAATTACTCGTATATTAAGCCGGATAAAAATATTACCGAGATAGACATAAAATGACAATGTGACATTTAAATTAGTTTAGGTTTTTTACTGTCGTAAAAACTAGCTCGTATTTGCGATAAATTGAAAAATCATATGGATAATTTGGTAACCTCTTGTATATGTACAGGTTTCGAGATACTAAAAACTGCAATCACGAAAGTACATCTAAGACGAGTAATAAATAATAAACAATCTACTATTATTGATATCTAAAGGATCCAAAAATACTGAGGTTTATTCAATTAGACAAATATCTGTTTGAATGCTAACAAAGCAAGTTCATCTAAGACTAGTATCAAACCCCGCGAAGCTTCGGTCTTAGCCCGGCTCTACTGAGATAAATATTCACTCGATCCCAGAATAAATTGAAGCTCTCTTAGAGCCTGAGCCTCTTATATTTTCCCAGAAGCTTTCCCACCGCGTCGACAGTGTTTACCTCATTTCCTCCTTATTATCCTTTTATGAGGGATTTCCTTGGGACAAAGAGGAAAGTTTTGTATATCGTCATGGTTGTTGCCAAGGAGTTCGAGAATCAATAGGACCGATGAGAACCAAAGTGCGTGCAATCCTATCACCTTCTATACAACTTATAAGCGCCTAGTGTGTTATTGAACGTTGAAGGAACGTTTGCGGGCAGGAGTGGATTTGTGGGGGTGAGGGGAGGGGGGTGGATGTAGGATCGATCCCCGGGACCCACGCCGGCGTGCGGGTTGTCGCTGTCTCGACAGCCCAGTCGACTCTGTGTGTCGTACCTTCCACGTTCGTCGACATTCGACATCCATCCTAGGTCTACCGTCTGCCACCATCAGGTGTGTATGATTTTACTTACTTACATGTGTGCAGTTAGTACACGTTATATTATACCGTATTGAACAGTGTTAAATTTAAACATCCGAAAAATCTACATACGATTTGACGTAACCTATAATTTCTTATGGCCATTTTAATTTAATAACATGTATATCACTATAACGGACACAATACTTAAAAACAACACAGCATCTCGAGGAAGGTTGTTGCGCAGTAAACAAAGTTATGGACGCTCCAGGATTTGGGTCAAAATAAAGTCTCTGTGGTGGATACGAAGAGGGTGAGAATAATTTAGGGGATGGAATTTGTGGAACACTTCGTTACCGGGATTACCTTAACCCGTTAGAGGCTGGGAGGGGATGTGGAAATTAAAATGCTTCATTGGGGTCTTGTGTAAATTAATACGGTAGCATTATTGTGTCGCAATATGATGTGAGTGCATTTTCATTAAATAATTTCATATAGAATGTGTAAAAACTTTTACCACCACTATTAAATTAATTTTATGAAATTAGCTGTACAAAATCATTAGCTGGTGTTTATATTTAGGGACTTATAGCCTACGGTACTCTAGGACTAGCTTAATATTTATTTATATTTTGGGGAAATATACTACTTTATGGAATTATTTATAATTGAGGACTAGCTCAGTATTTTTTAAATATATTTTTGATGGTGATTCTATTGGTGTCTATTCTATGTTTACTAGTCATTTTCTTTTACAATAATAATAATAATAAAAAAAAAAAAAAAAAAAAAAAAAAAAAACACGAATAACAGTTTGGGCTTTGGCTTACAAATGCATTGCCTCCAACATGCTGGTTGAAGAATTTAACATAAATTAAAATTGTTTATGTGCTTAAAGTATATTGATTACGAGTAGACAGTGAAATGTGGTGACACCTGAAATACTCACTTTCAGCCATAATGGTTCAACGAATATTTCTGTACCATTAAGTTTTTCCTCATAATATTACCGAGCCCTCACTGTTATCTGTTTTTACAAACACACTACAATATCTTGGTGGTTTTAATATTTATATACGAGAAACTTGTAAATACCTATATGGCGATAGTTAATATTTGTGGGATATTTGTAATAAACCCATAGTGGCCAAGCCAGAATACAAGGAGAGGGCTCTCGCTGGCCACATTTTCTGGTTGATAAAATATTGTTATACAAAAAGTCTTAATTAATATGTTCCTAAAATTAAACCAGAATCAACATTGAGTGATTGTACATTTTTCATTGCGTTACATTTAAATTCTATAACCACTTAATCTTTTATCCAATCCAAGAAAATTACTCGAAATATAAACGTCCAGAGCTCTCTGAAATGTTGTTAAAATATTCAAACCACCTATGACAAAACTTAAACAACAGTAGTTTGTATGTTCATCCTCGGCTGTCATAATAAACAAGCAAAATCAATTCATAGAGTTATTGTAAAAAGTTTATGATTTGTTGTCTACTTGTCATCATATAGAACGCATAGACAATTATTTTTTGTGTATATATTTACTAACTATTACGAAATAGTAATGAGTTTAAAACCTTTACACATTATAAATACAATGACACAGTCTGTTGCATCACACAGACCAAAGAACAAATTTCAAGTTATTCAAGATTTCTTCTTTCCGACATATTTTTACAATACAATGTTACAATTACAATTTTAAAAACATACAAGTTAATAAATATCATTTACTATAACAAACCAGAATACAATGGACTGCAAACAAATAAGAGAAAATATGTGGTTTGGTATTATCATGAAAAATATTGTGTTGAGACACATCACGCTCAAAGACAGTAGTGAAGTTCCTTCTTAATTAATATAATATGACTATTGAGTTAAAACTATTAATACAAATTTCTAGAAAACATATTTTTAGTGCTTTGTAATACTTGCTAGATATTTAAATAAAAAAAAAAACAACTAATAAAGACTTAAAATATTACAAAAACAAGAACTAAAAATCCTTATAAAAAAGAGCAATATTTTAAAATTAATTAAGAATTTAGTTGCACTTTACAAAGGGTTGCTTCGAGTGGCAATACGTTATACAATTTCAAGGAACAAACAGTAAACAAACACTACGATTACCTTGATTATTAGCTTTTAATAGTACAACTCTATTTTGCAACCTTAGTCCATCGGCGTAAATATTTATACTATCACATGTATGTCCACCTCTTATTCACTCAAAACCTACATACATACAAATATCTTAAAGGTAAATTAATATTCTTTTAAATATTTAAAATTTCCGATACTGTTTATTTATTGAAGTAGTCTTTAAACACTTAATCAAAACATCAGTTTGTGGGTACCCACGAGAAACGTTCCTCGTAGCAGCAACCTTACTTCTACCGACTCTGGCAATGTACAGCGGACGTGAATCTTAGTGAAAAATTAATTTCTATCATGCACTTGTTCGATTTAACTCTATAAAGAGATTAAAATCCCCTTATGCTCTAGGTTTGCTATTTACCTATGTGCTATTACAGTACTGCCATACGTCATATTATTTGGTTGTAATTCCACCGGGCTCATCCCGTAAAAAATTATTTTTTGCGTGACTTCGTGAGTTTTTGCTTGTGAAAGTAACTTCCAATTGTCATTGATTTAAAATAGGTTTGAAATTATTTGCTTTGAAGCTATCAGCCTAACTATACAAAAAGAGCCGATTTCCGTTATTATTTCAAATGAAAAATATAAAAAAGGTGTAAAATTATTAACACGATAAGGAATGATTTACATATTTTGATATCATTTACCATGAAAAAAATAAACTATTTATTTATTTAATTATTTACATTGCAAAATAAAGTTTTAAAGTGAAAAATAAGTTATTAACAGACAGTTCAACGTTAGTTTTAAACGAAACTCGCCTCACTTATCTGTGTAATAATTTGTTTTGCAGTAGTCGTACACTACAAAGTGTTACTAGTATGCCTATTATAGAAGTAAGGGTTGCTAATTTTATTGTATTGCAATAGCTGAATAACACATATAGTTCTCACAGCGATAGGAGATCAGCTAACCCAAGGAAGTGTGGTTTTCAACAAAAAGAGAACATAGTTATATTAAACTGTTTTAAATTCTGAAATTTTCTCCAAAAAGTCATACTCGCTATTTATTGCGTTATTTTCAATTCTGTGAAACATAAAGGTAAATTGAACCTATTATGGTTGCTGCTGCAGAGAGTGTTTTGATTAAGTGTTAAAGTCTAAAATCTTTTAGACAAAATTCTAGAAACGCAGCCATGGCGTGTTATATTGCAAGTGTTTATAAAATTACTTGAACATTAAATATGAACACGGTTCAATTAGAAATCGTATATTAAACAAATATATCACACGTTACACGTTTGACTAAGGTTAGAATAATGTTTTGCCAGTACCAACATATATTTAACAACAAAATACTTGTTGGATTATGGTTGTTTGTTTTAAGTTAGACATCTAGAAACGTCAAGTCCATCCATACAACAACAAATACATAAGTGCTTTTAACATTTCTATAGGTATTTGTTTACTACCTGTTTGAATATTGAGTATATGAGTGAATGATTCGTGTTCGGCGATGGTTCCGTTTAGTCCAATAAACAAACTGACCCAAAAAGAAGTCTTGATTTATTTTCGGTTTCACCAATGTAAATAAATCCTCTACGAGTTTAACAAGATATTAGTGTATCTTGGAATGATGCTCCTACTATAACGCCATGTGTCTGGTTTATCTTAGGTCACATAATCACATACTGTAGTAGCAATCAGGCGCTTTTGTCCACAAAGACTTTGATTATGAAACTTCAACTTGTCTCATAATCTCATCGAAGGGCTTGCAGTGTGTATAACAGTAAATAAAAGTGCCAAATTTGAAACTTTATTTAATAATGTTAATGGAATCTTTATTTATGGTGGAGAAAAAGCTTTCTAATTCAGTTGTACTCATTTGGTGCGGAATTGAATTTTTTTCATGTCAATTTATATTTTTTAGAATCCACAAACAAATGTTGACCATTTTACGTACATGAATCAATATAAATTAAACAGAGTTTCCTTCGTTATATTTTTCTGAGCTCTACCTTTGAATTCCTCTAAATGTTTAAACATATCATTTTAAAATCCATGGCCAATCCCAAAAGGCGTCTTGTACAGCCTATATTTTTAAATAATTACAATTTACTGTTCCTGGGAAATATTTTTTTAGTAAGACAGGCTATTTATGGTGCTACTGAATTTCGATTCATAGTTCCTGGTGCAAAGTTTGAAATATATTTTTGTTTTGATCAACGTTTTAATAAGTCGTGATAAAAATTTATTGTATGTGCCTTTATAGTTGACAAATATGGTCTGATAAACCCAAACCCTAAACTTAATTGTTTTAATTAGAAACTTTCCCTTGGAAAGTCTTCAAAGGTTGCGCAGATTTAGCTATCACTTATTTCAGAAACTTGTTTAGGGTCGTATATTGAACATTTTGGCTTCCAGCAATTTACTATAGTATTGGTAAGATATGAAGATATTAATTGACTTATTGTTAATTATTAGACTAATTGTAGTTTTTTTTAAACCACACAATATTTTAAGAGACAGAACGCCTCGCTGAATACAATTGTTGCACCATTCTTTATTTGTATCGTCAAATTGTTTTTACGATGAACAGAGTTCCATATTCTACCATTTAAAAATGTCGAGCGAACGTTTGTTACCAAATGCGTTTGAGTGGGGAAGGTATCAAAACAGGTGAAGGGATAATCTTTTGTTGATCTTGGGCGTGTATGAATTGGAAACAGGTTGCTTTGAAAACAGTTGGCTAATTCACAACAAAAATAGATTGAATTTAATTTAAAACAAATACGAAGGTATATTCTTTTGTTTTGAAAGCCGTCAGCAACAGCTAAAAATGGTCATGGTACGTCTGCTTTTATATTAGGTAAATAGAACCTTAGATAAAATTGTACAGTCATCTAAATATTACCGAATACT